GGATATTAAACTAGTACGTCAATGATGTAATAAACCCACGATATTCAACTAGTATGTCAATGATGTAATATATCCAGGATATTAAACTAGTATGTCAATGATGTAATATATCCAGGATAATAAATTAGTATGTCAGTGATGTAATATACCCAGGATATTAAACTAGTATGTCAATGATGTAATATATCCAGGATAATAAATTAGTATGTCAGTGATGTAATATACCCAGGATATTATTGGTTCCTTCTAACACTATTGTTTTATTAATGCACTAAGATATGTAAAATTAAAATAACTTATTTAATAGAAATATCTTCTCAAATAATTATTTGTTAAGAATTTTATATTATAAAATGAAGCAGTCTTAGAAAGACTAGACAAAGTCTTTTTCCAGAGCCCTTAAACTCAGTTTAGATGGGAACCTGTTTACATAATCTATTACATCTGCCTTAATATGTTATGACAATTAATAGTAAATAAAAATAGTGATGTAGATAATCCCAGTTTTACATATAAGATATTGTTGCGTCATCGAGATCATGTGATTCTCACGCTCTCTACTTTCTAGAATTATCCTGTACTTTGGCAAATGTTCTAGTTCTTACTAGATATAGGGTAGGCGGGTATATATAAGAGGGGACAACGTGACGCGGTTAAGGTAATGTAATGTGCGTGTGAAGATAGTGAGTAATTGAACTGCAGTCAGAAGTATTGTTGACGTTCGTTGATTAGCGTTTGTTTTAACGCGATTGTTGAAGTTGAGTGTATCGGTAAAGTTGTATTCGGAAAAAATAAATCAGTTTTATTAAGAAAGGACTTGTGTCGCTTAAGTTTCGTTGGAACGAAGTTACGGAAAATTAATTAACAAACGGAGACGGAACAATATGTATATTGACATACTAAATGCCATAGGTAACCTATATGCATTATTTTGGTACTAATGATATTTTTTTCATCATCTGTATCCTAGAAGTACCACTTAATCACATGAACTTTGCCTGTGTTTCCCAGATTTGTCTGTAAAATAAAACTCCATGATGTCTCCTGGGCCAGGAATGTAAAATATGAAATTTACGGACTTGTCCCAGTTTCCCTGACCTGACCATGTAATCAATACATAAACAAAGTTTAAAAAGCCATCTAGAAAGATTATAGCAATGAGATAGAAAATAAAAACAATAACACAATAAGACATCTGGAAAGAGAATTTATAAATACAAACTGAACCAGTAACACCTTTTACTGACATCCATCCATGAATTCCAACATAAAACATCATTTACTATTGAATACAAATATTTGGACTATGGTGTTATCAACTGGTTTGTCATCTGTTACTGCAGAACATTCCTGAACTACTACAGTCACAGTATTTCTAAATCCAGGTCCAAAATGTAGTTGACCAGTTCATCAACACTGTCCAATGGAGAAACAAATGGATATGATGGAAAGGTACTGAATAGGTAGAAGAGTCAACAAGCAACTCATCTTGCTACCCATTTAAAAGGACCAACATTAACAACATCAAGCAACAACTACAAAAAGAACTAAATGTGACAGTTATTTAGCTTGAAAGAAGGGAAAACAATCTTTATGTTTGCCAGCCCTTCCAAAGTGGGGTGCTCGAGAACTTCTATTCCCCTTCAATCTAGCACCAACAAGCAACTCATTGATGAGTTGCTTATTGTTGTTAAAGATGGACCTTTTTAAATGGGCAGCAAGATGAGTTGCTTATTGTTGTTAAAGATGGACCTTTTTAAATGGGCAGCAATTGCTGCCCATTAAAATGACCAACTTTAACCACATTAAGCAACCTTCTGGCTGAGAACTGTAACAAACACTGGCATTTTTTATGTTATATAGTGTTAAATGTCAACAATTAATAGAGTGTTTTTTGTCTAAGCTACCCTGGAATATCATATTCATCTACTTGAAGGACATAACTGCATACCCGAAGACCTCGGTAAGGCCTATGAAGGGCTAAGGAGGATTCTGGTTTGATTGAGGAAAATTAACCTTAAGCTGAACCTCAAGAAGAACAAATTGTTCCATCAGCAGAAAAGGGGTATTTATAGATCCATCAAAGACTAACTTTGTTCCAAACTGGCCATCTCTAAAGAACCTGCATGAGATAAAAGGATTTCTTGGACTATCGTTGTTTTGTAAAATTATTCTCTGATGTAGCACATCCTCTACACAAATTACTTAAAAAGAAACAATTAAGGTTTGGTGGACCTGAAGAAAGAATTAAACAGTACACCTATATTAGTATACCTATGTCTTGAAGATCTACTCATTTTAGATACATGTTTGAGTGATTTTGCAGTGGGAGTAGTGTTTCACGAATACAACATAGTAAAGAACATGTGATTGCTTACTATAGCAAGTGAATGCTGTAGGAAGGAGATACTGTAACATTGGAAGGAGGTACTAAGTGTTGTTCAAGTCCTAAATCCATTAATATTGCTCCAGATACTTCAGGAGCATAACTTTAACAATGTGCATAGAAATGGAACCATGGAAATGCTGATGCATTATTCCTAAAACCATGTGTTAATGAAGAGTAAAAACTGTAAAAAGCACAAGATAATAAGGATGACCGACCTAAAATACATCAGAATACGGGATGTCCTCAAGTGATGATGAAGAACTAATGTGGTCCAATACTCAACTGAAAAATGCTCAGGCAAAAGATAAAAGTTTGAAACCAATTATCTAGTGAATTAAGAATAATGCAGAAAAATCCACATGACAAATACCTGCTGCAAACAGCCCAAAAACAAAGATAAACTGGACACAGTTGGATTCATTATGCCTACAAGAAGTCTTGTTATGTCAGAAATGGGAGGATGCCAACGGACAGAAACAATGACTGCAGTTGGTAATTCCACATTTTCTACATTCTGAAGAACTCTGTCATCTCCACAACATTCCTAGAATGTACTTGGGTTTTAAAAAGATAGAGTAAAAGAATTATTCTATGCTTTGATTAAAAAGTTCCACAAAAAAACTGCATGGGCAACTACATTAGTATATACATGGAGTTGCTGTCAATGTGTTTAGTCCTATGCCACAAGTGGACAGTGGGAATAAATTCATCATTTTTGTGATGGACTATTTCACCAAATGGACAGAAACAATCTGCTCCTAACCAGGAAACAGAAACTCAAGGAAGGAAACTTTTCCATATAATTGTTTGAAGATTTGGTGTGCCTATGAAACTTCACTCAAATCAGGGATGGAATTTGAATTAGCCTATTTTTTTGTAGAAATCTGTCATATTTTTTGAATAAGACCAGGTCAAAAGTCCTTCATCAATCTTCTGACACCATGGTGGATATACAACCACACACTGTTAAGTAAGTAAATTAGCAATTTATGTGAATGAACTTAAAAAAACACGGTATAAAGATCTTCTACTGCTACTTAAGAGGTACTGAACATCAGGACAAGAAACACACCATCATCATCACCGATGCTTGGGAAAGAAGTTATAGTGCCATTTGACCTTCTCTACTCTCATCTAGAGAACAGTCATTTAGTAGTCTTACACAGAACATGCAGAGACACTAAGGAACATACCTGAAGCCAGGACTTTACCCAGAAAAGGCTTAAATCACTTAGTGATAAATGAAATATTTCACTACGATGATAACACTGGGTTTCATGAAGGTGACATGGTATAGCTGTACAATCCACACTGCCAGAGAAGATAAACTCTAAAATAAAGCAAGTGTTAGGAAGGTCCATATATTGTTCTGAAAAGAATCGATGGTATGACTTACATAATTGAGTAGGACAAGTAGTTCAAGCCAGTATTCACCCATCATAATTGTTTATGGAAGTGAGATAACAGCAAGTTAGGTAACTTTAGAGAAAAATTATCCAGCAGAAAGTTAACTTTATGAAGAGCCAAGAGTTCTCATTGAGGACACTTCAAGAGGATCACCAAAGATAGGGACACCAGTGGGTTTGCTCAATCACCTATCTATGGAGAACTTCCCCATTAAAAGGAGAGCAAAGATGTGACAATGACAAATAAGGGGAAATCCCATCTTCATACCCCTCAGAAAAGAAAGCCAAAAAGACTAGATGAATGGACAGATTAGTGTACTGTGTTATTGGTGTATTAGGACTGTTCAAGGAACTTTGCAACTGATTAAGAAGGCAGTATTGTAAGCTATATTTTTAATATTTCTATTTAGATGTTTGTTTACTAGATGGTGCACATTATTGCATCATGATGGTGCAATAACTAGAAATTTCATGAAAGTTCAAGCCTCTGTGAAATCTAGAAGCTTTGTGTGGTAAAAAGAGATATGGAAGAATGCAATATAAACAGCGGAATGAGCAAAATATTCAGCTAATCATTTATTTTGTTCAATGAGTGAATTAGACAGTGAGAGTTATTGGGTCTTTTTGTCTGTAATTAAGTTAGTGTGGTTTTTATCATTTGATTAGTGGGGAACTCACGGAGTAAGTGTATAAGTAATTTAAGCATACAGTAGTTTCAGAATTTCTGTTTAATGCTGTTGGTAAAGTTAGGCCTACCATTGAACATAGCCATTACTAAGCCCTATTGAAGAAAGAAATATATTCATTATTGTTATGTGGACTGGATCTTTATCAAATAATCTAAAAGATTCCACTCAACAATAGAATACATTATAACAATATGCAAGATATAAAATGGTTTTAATACAACGGAAACATATAATTAATGATGATGAATTAATGAATATTACAGACTCAATAAACTTATACATGAAAGGAAATTTTGGTTATAAAAGAAATACTTCTAAAAAGTTCCAAGTAACTTAATTCAATATCATGGCAAGAAAGTGGATACCTAAAAAAAACTTTTGTTCTGTGTCAAGAAACAAGAACAAAAAACTATATCATATCTCCAATAAATGGTTTTGAAAATCTTAACTACCTTTAAATATTGTGATACAATATATGTTCAAGTGGCTTTACAAATTTTAAAATGTACACTTTACCTCATTATCTGTGAATCTACTGGCTGAAATATCTTCATTTTCCTGAAACAAAGACACACTTTTATCAATCTCAGATTTGAAATAACAAAGAAAAAAACTATATCAAATTAGTTATAGTATTAACAGCACTGTAGTAATTAGTTGTAGTACAAATAACACTGTAGTAATTAGTTGTAGCACAAATAACACTGTAGTAATTAGTTGTAGTATAAATAATGCTCTTGAAATTTTTAGTATTGTTACGACAGCGGAAATCAGGTGATGCTGGTAACATGTAATGAGTATCTCGAACATTCGTGAAGGCTCAAACATTTACTAGACGCACACTCTTATTGTATATAACCCGGCAAAAAAGTGACAGCGAGAATAACTGAATAGCAGACAGGGAGATAGAGACAGATAATCGAGTCAAGCCATAAGTAAAGTGTGTAAATCGTTGTATATTATAGCGTGTGTTTAAGTTAAAGTGACTGTGGAAATTAAATGTACTGCAAAGTTGTATTGAGAAAGAATAAACTAGTTTTATTTAAGAAAGGACTTGTATCGCTAAAGTTTCATCTGAAAGAAATTATACGGGAAATTAACAAATGACCAGAGATGTAACACAGTGTTTATAAAACCGTAGTAATTAGTTGTAGCATGAACAGCAGTATTGTAATAAGCTGAAGTATGAATAACACTTCAGTAATTAGTTGTAGTATAAACAACACAATAGTTATTAGCTGTATTATGAGCAGTGCTATAGTAATGTTTAGTATGGATAAACACTGAATTAATTAAATATTATCTTTCAGTATCAAAAACTAAATTAGCTGTACCATGAACAGTGTTGTAGTAGCTATTTTTGTATGAATTTAGTACAGTAATTAGCTGTAGTATGAATAACACTATTAATTAACTGTAGTATAAACAGCAGTATAGTAATTAGCTGTATTATGAGCAGTGCTATGGTAGTTTTTAGTATGAATAACACTGAATTAATTATCTTTAAGTATGAAAAACTAAATTATTTGTACTATGAACAGTGCTGTAGTATTTTAGTATGAATAATACTACAGTAATTAGCTGTAGTAAAATACATTAAAATACTCAACAATCAATGTTATATAATATACAATTAAAATTCTATTTAAAAACCGATCAAAAAAGGCACATTATATGTTTCAACATTGTTCACATCATCCTCAGGAAACATGTAGAGTGCCATTTTTACAACTGTTGATTGGTTTTTAAATAAAATTTTAATTGTACACTATCCTACTAAAAGTCATGGGACATGGGTAGTTATGAATAAAATATGTCTTTATTCCAAGAAATTAATAGCATGTTGGCCCTAATGACTGCTTCAATGCATCGTAGACAGTCTACCAATTTCTGGTGTAAAGCTGGTGGTATTGTGCTCCACTCCTCCTTTAAAGCAGTAGTAAGCTCCACTACTGAAGCGAGTCATTTTGGCCTTGTCATAATTCTGTGTTCCAGTTCATCCCAAGGATGTTCTATCAGGTTGAGGTAAGGGCTCCATGCTGGCCACTGCAATGTTCTCACATTCATAATCCTTGCTTTGTGACATGGAGCGTTATCATGTTGGAAGGTGTAAGAGCCAGTACCATAAAATTGCCACAATGTAGGACACAGAATTATTCAGAACATCAGTATAGGACTCAGCATTCATGGATCCATGCACTGCAACCAGTGGATCTAGTCCATACCACTAGAAGCATCCCCATACCATGATACCGCCACCTCCAAACTTGACACACTCAGATAATAAGCATTCTCTATACCTAAACAAGTCCATCACACTGGAAGAGAGTGTAGTGTGACTCGTCACTCCACAGGACCAATTTCCATTGACTGACAATCCTATCCCCTGTGTGCCTTGCCCTATGCCAATCCATAGTGTGCATTTGTTTTCATTATGAATGGATTGTAGGCTGCAGCTCTTCTATGAAAATTCATGGCATGCATCTCTCGATTGGATTGCCTGTAGGATTGCCTGTTACTGCTCTCGTCTACAGAAAGAGATTCTCTGGGATCTGAAAGTGAGATGAGGTAACCATCCTTCTCAAGGTACGTTGGCTCCTATTGGTCAGTATTTTACACCTACGTGGCCATTTCTTGTGCCCTTTGTCACCTGTGGACTTCCATTTCTTCAGCACATTGCCAACTGTCAACATGGGAATGTTTAATTGTTGAACGATAGCCCATACAGACATTTTCCCAAAATGACATCCAACTATCCTTCCCCTCTGAAACTCTGTTTGTTCTTTCCATGTACTCATCGTTCAGTGTACAAATTCAAAATGACTTCCGAGCAAACAGCTATTCATTTTTATAGTCCAAACTATTTGCATATTTCATCATCATACTCATTTTCCTGCAATCATAGGTGTGTCCCATGAATTTTTGTAGAATAGTGTTTATTATACAATGTTGATTGTTCAGTATTTTAATATATTTTAAATATTTATACAGGTTTCCTTCAATTTTATCCAACAGTGTAGTAATTAGTTGTAGTATAAATAACACTGTAGTAAATTAGCTTTAGTATAAATAACACTGTTGTAAATTAGCTGTAGTATAAATAACACTGTAGTTAATTAGCTGCAGTATAAAAAACACTAGTTAATTAGCTGTAGTATAAATAACACTGTAGTTAATAAGTGGAGTATAAAAAAACACTAGTTAATTAGCTGTAGTATAAATAACACTGTAGTTAATAAGTGGAGTATAAATAACACTGTAGTTAATAAGTGGAGTATAAATAACACTGTAGTTAATAAGTGGAGTATAAATAACACTGTAGTTAATAAGTGGAGTATAAATAACACTGTACTAATTAGCTGTAGTAGGAATAACACTGTAGTATAAATAACACTAATTAATTAGCTGTAGTATAAATAACACTTTAGTTAATAAGTGGGCTAATTAACCACAGTGTTATTTATACTACAGCTAATTAACCACAGTGTTATTTATACTACAGCTAATTACTACAGTGTTATTCCTACTACAGCTAATTACTAGTGTTATTTATACTACAGCTAATTTACTACAGTGTTATATATACTAAAGATAATTAACTACAGTGTTATTTATACTACAGCGAATTAACCACAGTGTTATTTATACTACAGCTAATTACTACAGTGTTATTTATACTATTTATACTACAGCTAATTAGCTACAGTATTTATACTACAGCTAATTAATTACAGTGTTATTTATACTACAAACACTGTAGCTAATTAGCTGTAATATAAATAAAACTGTAGCTAATTAGCTGTAGTATAAATAAAACTGTAGTTAATTAGTAGTAGTATAAATAACACTGTAATTAATTAGCTGTAGTATAAATAACACTAGCTAATTAGCTATAGTATAAATAACACTGTAGTTAATTAGTGGAGTATAAATAACACTGTAGTTAATAAGTGGAGTATAAAAAAACACTAGTTAATTAGCTGTAGTATAAATAACACTGTAGTTAATTAGCTTTAGTATATATAACACTGTAGTAAATTAGCTGTAGTATAAATTACACTAGTAATTAGCTGTAGTAGGAATAACACTGTAGTAATTAGCTGTAGTATAAATAACACTGTAGTTAATTAACTGTAGTATAAATAACACTAATTAATTAGCTGTAGTATAAATAACACTGTATAAATTAGCTGTAGTATGAATAACATTGTAGTTAATTAGCTGTAGAATAAATAATACTGTAGTTAATTAGCTGTAGTATAAATAACAGTGTAGTAATTAGCTGTAGTAGGAATAACACTGTAGTAATTAGGTTGTAGTATAAATAACTGTATAAATTAGCTGTAGTACGAATAACACTGTCGTTAATTAACTTTAGTATAAATAACACTGTAGTTAATTAGCTGTAGTATCAATAACACTGTAGTTAATTAGCTGTAATATAAATAACACTGTAGTTAATTAGCTGTAGTATAAATAACACGAGTAATTAGCTGTAGTGGGAATAACACTGTAGTAATTAGCTGTAGTATAAATAACACTGGTTAATTAGCTGTAGTATAAATAACACTGGTTAATTAGCTGTAGTATAAATAACACTGTAGTTAATTAATGGAGTATAAATAACACTGTAATTAATTAGCTGTCATATAAAAAACACTAGTTAATTAGCTGTAGTAAAATTAACACTGTAGTTAATTAGTGTAGTATAAATAACAATGTACACTGTCACTGTCATGTATAAGGGTTAAACTTTTCTGTTCTGTATACTGTAGCTGTCAAGTATAAGAATTAAACTTTTCTGTTCTGTATACTGTAGCTGTCAAGTATAAGAGTTAAACTTTTCTGTTCTGTATACTGTAGCTGTCAAGTATAAGAATTAAACTTTTCTGTTCTGTATACTGTAGCTGTCAAGTATAAGAATTAAACTTTTCTGTTCTGTATACTGCAGTTGTCAAGTATAAGAGTTAAACTTTTCTGTTTTGTATACTGCAGTTGTCAAGTATAAGAGTTAAACTTTTCTGTTCTGTATACTGTAGCTGTCAAGTATACACCAGGAAAAAAGTTAAGCACCCCCGTGTTTTTCAAGTGATT